ACAAAAAACTAAAAAATATATTTTGTTTCTTTAGAGTTTTTATTTTAGGGGATAGTTAAACATTTTGAAAATCTCTTCACATTCGCATATTGCACAAAAAACTGAAAAATATATTTTGTTTCTTTATAGTTTCGCGTAACCGACTCCCGAACGAAAAATCTCATTTTCGTAGACCATGCTTTATCATTTTATGGTTTTTCCGTAGTTTTCCAGAATAAACTATGGTGGCAACTCCAAATCTCTTTTTTTTCAAACGTTCACTCCTTTTTTTTTTATCGTCGTCTCGTTGCGATTCCGATCGCGATACTCTGTATTCTTTTAAGAAACTTGTTTAAAATATATTTTATAAAATATACCACTTAAATTATTATAAATATGTTAGTGCATTGTAGGATGAGTTTGCAGAAAAAAAAGAGAGAAAAAAAGAGTATTTCATGAAGATATAAAAAAGAGAAAAAAAGCTGATACATTACATGAAAAACAACAAGAGAAATAAAAAAAAGCACTTAAGATAAGCTATTAAGCCAATAGATTAAACTAACTTATCACTGTTGACTTCCACTCACTTAAATTCACAAAACAAATTCAAAGAAAAACATAATATAAATAGAAAACATTATTCAAATAATTCAAATTAAGTTCCCATAAGCTAAGTCATAATAATTTCAAACTTGCTTATCAGTTAAAAACAAAAGTGTATATAAACTACTAAAAACAAAACAATACTAATGTTCCAAACCTGAAGCTGATTGAATCATTGCATTAGAAATCAATCCCTTAAAATATTTGGGACCCTGTAGGAAATAAAAAAGGTGAAATGTGCTGATTTTATATGTGAATCTAGCACAAGCTAAAAAATCCTCCTTGGGTTTATTTTTCTGATATGCACACACGAATAATTTCTCAACTAAACTCACAGTTCAGAACCAACTAAACTAAAAATATTTTGGTAGAAACCCAGAGAAACGTATTGAATAGAAGATGTGAATAGTTTACGGCGAAGAANCTATCTATTTTATAATTTATCTCTTTTGAAAGAACCTTGATTTTCTTATAGTGTTTTGGAAGGTTATTTAGTGTCACTGTTTCTATTTTTGGAGAAAGGGAGCAATTATCTACTGTTTAATTTATCTTTATTTTTATTATTTTCTGTCAAAGGAAATCAAAGAACTCATATATAATATAGTTAATATATTTATTTTCAAAATTAGAAAACCTTTTTAACCATGCAGGAAGTCTTGAGAAATTATTATTCCAAAAATAGAAATATTATGATTGTTATTGTAGATTTAGATATGGAGAGTAATTAATTTTTTAAAACTAATAGTAGTAATTAATTTTTTAAAACTAATTATTATTCTTAAAAGTTGTATTAAATAAAAATAAATTGTAAAATATTTTAATTTTATTCAATATTTTAAATTTTTAATAAGTGCTTTAAATACTATACTTATTTTAAAGTGTTTTAATTATAATTATTTTCCCTTTTCACTTAATCCCTACATAAACAAAACCTATATTCTAATTTGTAGAAACATACTGATAATACGAAGGGTGTGCTTGGATTTGGATTTGGGAGTAGATTTGAGAAAAAGTAACTATACGGATGTGAGGGAACTGAAAGATAGCTCTGTTATGAGGGAACAGAAATATAGCTCTGTTATGAGGGAACAGAAAGATAGCTCTGTTATGAGGAAACAAAAAGATAGCTCTGTTATTGTTTGGATTACGAAATATATGATATGATTTGAGAAAATTTTATATATAATGTGATTTATAATAAATTAAAAAAATGTTTTAATAGATAAAAATAGATTATTAGTATTTTATCTTCGAAAATAAATAGAATATAATTTTAAATGTAAATAGTGGAAATAATATAAAAATTAAATTTAAATTTAAATTTATATTTCTAATTAAAATAAAGTTAAAATTGAAAAGATAAAATTAATAATATGTAATTACAAATATAATAAATATTTAATTACACTTAAATAAAAACACAACACATTTAGATGACACATCAAAAACATAATACAGAGTAAATGTAAATATAGGATGCACTCACAAACAAAGAACATATTCAACAATTAAAGTAAGGTCATTTTTCTNTATTTTGAAGGATGAAAATCACCATTCTATCTATTTTATAATTTATCTCTTTTGAAAGAACCATGATTTTCTTATAGTGTTTTGGAAGGTTATTTAGTGTCACTGTTTCTATTTTTGGAGAAAGGGAGCAATGTTTAATTTATCTTTATTTTTATTATTTTCTGTGAAAGGAAATCAAAGAACTCATATATAATATAGTTAATATATTTATTTTCAAAATTAGAAAACCTTTTTAACCATGCACGAAGTCATGAGAAATTATTATTCCAAAAATAGAAATATTATGATTGTTATTGTAGATTTAGATATAGAGAGTAATTAATTTTTTAAAATTAATAGTAGTAATGAGTGCTTTCAGTATAGTTCATAGGAATTCTTAAAAGTTGTATTAAATGAAAATAAATTGTAAAATATTGTAATTTTATTCAATATTTTAATTTTTTAATAAGTGCTTTAAATACTATACTTATTTTAAAGTGTTTTAATTATAATTATTTTCCCTTTTCACTTAATCCCTACCTAAACAAAACCTATATTCTAATTTGTAGAAACACACTGATAATAGGAAGGGTGTGATTGGATTTGGATTTGGGAGTAGATTTGAGAAAAAGTAACTATACGGATGTGAGGGAACAGAAAGATAGCTCTGTTATGAGGGAACAGAAAGATAGCTCTGTAATGAGGAAACAAAAAGATAGCTCTGTTATTGTTTGGATTACCAAATATATGATATGATATGAGAAAATTTTATATATAATGTGATTTATAATAAATTAAAAAAATGTTTTAATAGATAAAAATAGATTATTAGTATTTTATCTTTGAAAATAAATAGAATATAATTTTAAATGTAAATAGTGGAAATAGTATAAAAATTAAATTCAAATTTATATTTCTAATTAAAATAAAGTTAAAATTGAAAAGATAAAATTAATAATATGTAATTACAAATATAGTAAATATTTAATTACACTTAAATAAAAATACAACACATTTAAATGACACATCAAAAACATAATACAGAGTAAATGTAAATATAGGATGCACTCACAAACAAAGAACATATTCAACAATTAAAGTAAGGTCATTTTTCTNTGATACCGTATACCTTAATTTAGATAATATCAAATTACACCCTTATACTTTAAAATAAGTAGCGCTCGGTCTTATACCAAGCGTTCGTCCTAAATAACACTCAGTCTTGTACTAAGCGTTCGCCATAATTGGTGCTCGGTCATCTACCTAGCGTTCGTCATAAGCGGTGCTCGGTCTTATACCAAACGCTCGTATTATTGAATAACCACTTGGATAAAATAGCGTTCGTTCAAGTAGAATAATATTCATTTTTCCTCACGTTCATTCAATTACTGGCATCAGTCTTCCGTATGCGAATTACTACAAAGATAGTTCTAACGTTATTGACTCTCCTTCTTACATTAGATCTGGTCTAAGGTTCTCATGCTGAAATTTTCTTTAAGTATCAGTGTATATCTAATCGAGTTAGTTCATCTAACTGACCGCTTAAATAGTAACGTTCATTATAGACTTCTTTGTTCATTCAGTATATTCTCTCGACGTTCATCCTAGTTCTTCAGAGGGTTGAACGTTCGTTATTTTATGCTCTTAAATCTAAAGAGGAAAATGATGATAAATTATAAGGACTTGAAGTGTGAATACTATATTGAGTGATTATACGATTATGGATTTTGTACGAGCGTTCCAGGGAGGAACGACTCATATATGTGGATTATGGAATTTGGTAAAGTATGACTGTGGTCATGCTAATGCTGGCATGGTCCATCCTGATATTCCGTGATACTCATCTTCACGTAGAGGAGAGTAGTTCATGTGTGGGAATGGCAGGAGGTCCTTAGTCCATAAGTTAACATGGGCGACGTAAGAACGGACTAACCTCGAGTGGCAGCTGTTGAGTGTATCCCAGTTACTACATCACTCGGGTGCAAGGACGCTTGTAGCTACACAGATTCATACAGTCCGGACGGTCTGTCTAGTATATATATATTTCTATGTTAAGTTACATGTTGTGTGTGAATTGAAATGTTAAATGTATATGTTGATGTATGAATTAAATTATATAAGCTTACCCTTTCGTTTTTCCTTGTGTTGTCTATTGTCTATGTACGTTCGTCCTGTCCTTGCAATGATCATCCGTGTGGATGTGAGCAGAAGGCGAGGCAACTCTGGAAGACGTCATCGAAGAAGAAAACTTAGTTGAAGTGGAGGTTAAAGCAGAACAGTAGGACGTCCGTTCTTTTTAGTTTTTAGATGTTCGATTTTGAATTGGACGTTCGGTTAATTAAATTTTGTAAAACCGTTCGTCCTAACCTCTTGTAATTCTGTATTATAAGCCGTTCGGCTTTTGAATCCTGTTATTAGTGTGAAGACTACATTGTTTTACTGTTAAATGTAATTAATTCTGATTTATGGTAATTACTGTATTTTGGGATGTTACAAAAATAATTAAAATACAATTTAAAAATACGTTATTATATAAAAATCATTTAAAAACACAAGTCATGCGTCCAAAAAATACTAGTAAATGTAGATAGATTGAAAAATTATTGTAAAGTTCAATTTCAATATAAGTATCAGAATGAATCAGAGCATGCTTGACACCGTGACACGCATCCAGAATTTTAAGCTGTAGACTAATTGACAGTACTTAAAGGACTCCACTACATAATTTCCAAGTAATGATGTTTATTTTGTCAAAATCAAATCTGGAATGCCTACTAGCCACAATTACATTGGGAGCTCAATCATAAATATCATAATCTCTACATAAATGGAGATAAATATTTCAACCACAATTTATATACATGTAATTCATAATAATCAGATAAAGTCTCCTTTCACCAAAATAAAACACTTCAAGAAAATGAAATTATAGTAATATGATATAAATAGCCTATATTTACACACATGTAATACTTTGCTTTGTAGATACCATTCTCATTTTCTCCTAGAATTATAGGAGGCTTCTTCTACGATCAACCAAAAACTGAAGAGTTTGCCGAATCTAAATTATCAAAATAATAGTAATAATAATAATAATAGAAATAATACATTAAAAAAATGAACTAAAATAAATACGTAAATTAGGCCTCTAAGTATCCCGGAATTTGTGCTGCGGAGTCCACTTCAAATATAAAGAAATGCTTCCGGATTTAGCTCCATCTAGAGGAAAAGTTTCATTGTATTCTCCTTCTAAGATGACCTTAGTCAATGTTAAGATCACTCTTCCAATTTTTTCCTGAAATAATCATGCGTTTACCATAACACTCCAATCGGTACTGATTTCAAGAACGCAGAAGGATATGATGAGATGGAGATGAAGATGATAAAATGAGTTTCCAAACATTCACCAAGCGCCCAATATCACAATAAAAAGAACAGGGTAATGCAGGCACCTTTTTTTTTAATAACTTTTTCATTTAAGCAATGATTTGTTCAATTAATAAAACCACGAGCATAAGCTACCTAAACCGCTCTGGACGAGCAGAAGAAAGGTGGGTATAAAAAGATTATGGCAATATAAATTTATTTGTCAGAGGTTATTGAATGTTTCAAATTCAAGCAGTACTCAGGAGGAACAAAACAAATTCAGGAAGTATCCTCACCTTGCCAAACGTATCATGATCGTAGACTTCCAGAATTAACATTTCGTGTAAGCCATCCTCCACAACAAAATCAAATGTTTGATTCCAAACTGGGTTTAGGGATTCATTTACAACCTGAGAATACAAGAAAGATTGTTCAACCTTACAAGTATACAGAAATCAGCGTGTGAATTTGGAGATGGAATTTTTCTTGTTCGCAAGTAAATTCAAAACAAAAAATTCTGATACGTTTTGTTTAACTAATTTGCATTCCAATTAAACTATCTCACAATTCTAATCTATTTAATCATTTGAATTCATCTCGGTATTCACCTAATTATAACGAATTAAAAAAAAACTAGCATAGCAATAGTATCATGCAAAAAATGTCGAAAATCTTACTCTGGTCTTGAGTTTTTTTTCTGTTTTTTTCAAACTAAGGACAACAAATGGATCAGCCTTGCCCATTAAGTCCACTACTGGTAAGTCTTCAGCTGAAATGACCGTGACAGATAGAACCCCTCTTACGATCACGTTGCTTCTCTTACGTGACCCTGTAGGATCCTCAACCTCTGCCTCACCACTCTTGAGGGTCTTCTCGAACGAGGTTAATGAGAAATCAGGGTCAAAAGGGTTCTTGATGGCGCTTTCCATTCCAATTGGGCAGTACAAGAGCTCCAAGTGCACCTACATAGGGTATATATTTATGTGTCGAAATAACAATTATGGACTCACCTAATACGAATTTGGCTTATTAAAAAAATCGAATTTGAACGAGTACAATATTACTCACCCTTCTTATTATGAGTGTAATTTAAGGTTCTAAATTAAGAATAAGAATAAATATACTACTCCGAGACAAATTTATCAAACTAACCTTACTTTTTCTTTATAAATATATTATTTGATCGAGATATAGCGAATAATTAATTTAAAAAAAATTATTAAGACTGAGATAAAATCATCAGTGAATTTGATTTTTTGAAAACTGCAATGATGGAGTATACGACAAGAAAACCCAAACTGCAAGCATTGAAGAAAAAGGCCAGATCCGATGCCTATAGTGTAGGGAGAGTCTATAACTTAAAAAACTTGAAAACACTTTCGTTATTCTACGCATGCCACCGGGGGGAAGNATTATGAGTGTAATTTAAGGTTCTAAATTAAGAATAAGAATAAATATACTACTCCGAGACAAATTTATCAAACTAACCTTACTTTTTCTTTATAAATATATTATTTGATCGAGATATAGCGAATAATTAATTTAAAAAAAATTATTAAGACTGAGATAAAATCATCAGTGAATTTGATTTTTTGAAAACTGCAATGATGGAGTATACGACAAGAAAACCCAAACTGCAAGCATTGAAGAAAAAGGCCAGATCCGATGCCTATAGTGTAGGGAGAGTCTATAACTTAAAAAACTTGAAAACACTTTCGTTATTCTACGCATGCCACCGGGGGGAAGTTCTGTAAAAAATTGCTATTGGCATTGATCAGTTAGATGGAATGGTAGATGAATGTTACGGAGACGCTAAAGAATATACGATCTTACCTCACCCCTTTGTTTGTTATCTCTACGGATCTCCAAATCCTTAACCAACTTAAGCCATACATCCTTGACTTTGCCAGGTTCGAGATCCTGCAGTGAAACTTGGGCACAGCCAATAAGTTCAGAAGCCTGAATGCCTTCATCATCGAAAATTCTTATGGTCAAGTGCTGCGTTGCCGCATCTTCTATAGTGAATTCAAAGTGTTCGTTCCATATTGGACTCAACTGGTTGTTCTGAACACGCCCGGCCGCAGTTGGATTATTATCACACACTAATTATTCAATAAATATTAAAAGAAAAATGTAAATGAAGCTTCCATTGGAAAAAAAAAGTTGTCTTACCACTACTTTACTGGTTTTGGTTCTGGAACGAAGCGGGCGTACAAAAAGGACAGCGTAAGGATCGGATTTCCCAATCAAATCTTTATTTGTTAAGTTCCTTGCTTGCACTAGTTTTACTTCCAGTATTCCAACAGGTTTCAACTCTAGATTACTGAAAGAGGAAGAAACAATCACACGAACTCAAATTAAGAGAAGGATATTGAAATATTATCAAACACATATACTCATGTTACAGGTGATGAATCCCTTTAGTTTCTAAACTTTGACTAACTCTAGCTTGTTGGGTTACATCACTGATCCAATATTTCTTATAGGCCTTAGAACAGGTGCCTAGCACTATTTTTCTTTATTCTTCGTCGTATATATTGCATTTGCATTCTTAACATCTTATCAAAAGCAAGTTTTGCTTCAAGAATTAAGAAAAAGTGTAGAGTAAGAAGAAGAAAAAGGACTATAAAGTGTTTTTAGATGTGTCACTAGACAGCTTCAATAAAAGATTGACTCTTATTTGGTTCGAGTTGATATTTTAAGAAAAAGTTCAGTCCTAGACATTTCTTCATTCTCAGTTGTTGGATTGGTGAAAAGTGGTTTGGTGCGAAATTTATTGGATTCTTAGTTACTCTATTTTAGTTTTCTCATCTCTTAGTTTCTCATCTCTTAGTTTCTCATTTGAGAACATTTGTGTTTAGCTTTGTTTGAGGGATTATAAACATATTTTATGATCTTGTGGGGAGACTCCATTATTTGAAGGTTTTTTTTTTTTTTTTGTGCTCGGGGTTTGCAGTGAACCATTTATAGAAATTGGGGTTTCTATGCAAGTTTCGGTTTGTTATTTCGTGACCATGATTGTGATGATGACTATTGAAAGGGTGAACTTTTTTTCGATCTATTAGCATATACCTAAATAGGCATAAATATTGCTATATGTGTCATGTCAAGTATGGAACAGCTAAAGAGGTTTGTGAGCATTGATGAAGTTATATATGCAGTCCAATTTCAAAAAACAATATCAATTGGAAATTGACTTTTTGGCNTTTAGTTTCTCATCTCTTAGTTTCTCATTTGAGAACATTTGTGTTTAGCTTTGTTTGAGGGATTATAAACATATTTTATGATCTTGTGGGGAGACTCCATTATTTGAAGGTTTTTTTTTTTTTTGTGCTCGGGGTTTGCAGTGAACCATTTATAGAAATTGGGGTTTCTATGCAAGTTTCGGTTTGTTATTTCGTGACCATGATTGTGATGATGACTATTGAAAGGGTGAACTTTTTTTCGATCTATTAGCATATACCTAAATAGGCATAAATATTGCTATATGTGTCATGTCAAGTATGGAACAACTAAAGAGGTTTGTGAGCATTGATGAAGTTATATATGCAGTCCAATTTCAAAAAACAATATCAATTGGAAATTGACTTTTTGGCTCTCTAGTAACATAACATGTATATTCTATGTAAATCATTGGGATCAATTGACTCTTCCTGAATTTTTATAATTATGTGCTTTCAAACCTTACATGGACCAAAGAGAAGAAGAGTATTTACTCTCAAATTTTTTGTAAGACACTTCAACTCTGTTTGTATCTGCGTGAACTTGCAGGAGTTATCCTTATGTGTATTTATTGATATGTGGGAAAATGCAAGAAAGAGGTCCATTGAGATCCTCGTTGCTATGTGAAGAAACAAAGGAAAATCTAGTTGGATAAATAGGAAAAGATGAAATTGCACTTTGCATTAGACTATGAAGGGAAAATATTCGTCTTTTCAACAGTGGTCACCGCCAAAATACGGTTAAAAACAGTTGAAAGTGAAGAGAGTTGATTCTCAATAACATTATATATATATATATATATAACAGAATATACGTCAAATTAAATTATAATCCGGATGTTAAATAGATTCGTGTCAAATTCTATAAGGAATAATTCTTTATAAAAATTTTCATCATTTTTTTATTTAATTATTTACTGTTCTTAATTATTTGAGTTAACACTTTGTTTTTCTAAGACTAGAATATTGTTCAATATTTTTTGAATGATGGATTTATTTTTTTATCTCATTTTATAAGTTAGTTTTTTTTTTACTCACTATTTTTATAACATTACTTTTTAAGTGTAATGTTTAATGAAATAGTTAAACATTCTAATTGTATTATTATAAATAAGTGGATTAAGTTAATTTACTAAGTTAATCTACTTTTGATTTTGTATGGTATAGTATAGACCGAACGGTTAACACTCATAGTTTGGTTCATTCCCTTTATCAGTTTAAGTTATTATTGGACCAATAGTTCAGCATACGATATAATAATCAAAGATATTTGATTAAAGATATCGATGAGCCGTTTATGAGCAACTAAACTAATCTAA